CCTCGGCCTCCCAGAGTGCTAGGATTACAGGCGTGAGCCACCGCGTCCAGCCAAACCCCATATTCTTAAAACAAAAAAAAGATTCTCTTAATATTTAAAAAGATTTATCACTGAAAAAAAAAAAAAACGTAAAATTCAAGGCTTGTTTATTTATATCCTGCCTGTGCAAAAAGAATTTAAGTCAGCTATTATTTCCAGGTAAGCTTATGAAGTCCTACATAATCATAAATTATTTTGAAATCATATATTATACAGGCAAATAGAAATCCCTAAAATGAAATACTCATGTGAGGACAAGATTGTGATGGAAGTACATCTAATCATAAGAAACAACTGAATGAAAACATCCTCTTTAAAATACGATGTTCTTTCCTTCTTCAAAATGCAGAATACTTCATATATGATGTGGGAAGGGAAAGACACATTATTCCTACTGCACAGAAGTGTTTTATACCTTGAGGGTAGTCTTTTCTTCAATGCTGGAGTAGATGACAATATGTCCTTCCCAAGATATAGCCAAATTGGGAATGGCCAGGAAGAGAGAACTCTCACAAGGTGGTCGTAAGGTCCTCATGTACTGACCTTTCTGAATGGTATGTATAATCACAGTTCCATCCTACACACAGGAAATATCAGAAAATGAAAAAGACAAAGAAAAGATCATCAAAAAAGAAGACGGTAAAGTAAACCAGATAAAGAAATGTGGGAAAGGAACTGAGAAAATGATTATTCCACCGAGGACACATGTACCTTAGGAAAAATTCCAATTTCACAACTTCATCACTGAGAAAGTGATCTAGACTATGATCATTTTCTGCTACTTAACTTTTTGTTTTATTTATGTTTTTGGAGACAGGATCTCGCTCTGTTGCCTGAGCCAGAGTGCAGTGGGGTCATCATAGCTCACAGCAACCTCAAACTCCTAGGCTCAAGCGATCCTTCTGCCTCAGCCTCCTGAGTAGCTGGGACTACAGGTATGCGCCACTATGCCTGGCTAATTTTCATATTTTTTCTAGACATGGGGTACCAGTATGTTGTTCAGGCTGGTCTCAAACTCCTGGCCTCAACTGATCCTCCCACCTTGGCCTCCCAAAGTGCTAGGATTACAGGTATGAGCCATTGCACCCAGCCTCCAATTTCAAATGTATTTTAGTTCCCAGAATGCACTCTTCCCTTAACTAACAAAACCAATAAAATCCTAAAATAGAATCCCACAAGTCTTTTCTTTCTGTATTACTCCACTTTTGCAAAGTCCTATACAAACATGGCATAAAATTTCTATACTTTTACCAATTCCCCTAAAAAATTTTAGACACGAATATTGCTATTACGTTTGTAGAAAAAGTAATTAGTAATTCTTAAAAGTGAAATCTTACCCTTGATCCTGACACTGCTATGTCTAGCTCGGTGCTGATGCCGACGCTCAATACCTCATTGGTGTGTCCATAAAGAATCTGAAAAGGTTTAGAGGCTAAGCCCAGAGGAACACCTCCCTAATATTAAAAGAGAAAAGCAAAGATAAAGGTGTTTTCTTGCTACCTATTTTTTATGACAAGGTTTATGTTGCATTTAAACTTTTTAATCACAAACTAACATTGCAGCTAATTAACAGTTATTATCACTGAGTTTATTCATAGTAGTACTCATTCTTATGCTTCTCCTTGGATTCCCGAATTAATCTTTTAAAGCTCAAAAACTCAATTTGAATGGTTTCAATGTTGATTGTCTTGGATTAATTTTTCCAAGTATGTTATTTGCCCTTTCAATCTGCAGATTTATTCTTCTTTAACAGCATTATATCTTTGAATACTTTTTCTGTTCCATTCATTAGAATCTTAACTTCAGGGACATCAATTATCTTTATGTGGATTTGTCTTTGATTTCTATGGCTATTATTATTATTATTATTTTATTTATTTATTTATTTTTTTGAGACAGAATCTCACTCTGTCGCTCTGGGTAGAGTGCAGCGATGTCATCGTAGCTCATTGCAAACTCAAACTCCTGGGTTCAAGCAATCTTCTTGCCTCAGCCTCCCGAGTAGCTGGGATTATAGGTACATGCCCAGCTAATTTTTCTATTTTTAGTAGAAAGTGGGGAGTCTTGCTCTTGCTCAGGCTGGTCTCAAACTTCTGAGCTCAAGCAATCCTCCTGCCTTGGCCTTCCAGAATGCTAGGATTACAGTTGTGAGCCATCACACCTGGCCAGCTATTATTCTTTATCTAACTGTGTTTAAAGTCATATTTTTCATTTGCATTCACTTTGATTACATCTTTTTTCCATGCCATTAATTTGGTTTGCAGCCACATTAAGTCTGTTTCTTGTTTCTGCTTTGGGTTTACTTATATTTGTAATGGTATCAGTTTTAATCTCAGTTTGATTCTTTCATAACCTCCATTTTTATCTTACTATGCTATTTGATCATTTCATCTTTGAGCTCTTATTTTAATTGAACTGCTGTTCTTATGTTTTTCTAATGACACAATTTTATTGCAAAAAATCACTGTCTTTGAGTTATCTTCCAGAAGAAAGATTCTTTCTTCATGTCTTTATCATGCCTTGTTTGTGTATTATTTTATATGTTATTAAGTGTTTGAACAAGTGCCATGTTGTTTTAGCCATGATTATCCTAGACAACTCTGCCCAGATGTTCTATCTGTTCTATACAGTGTGCAGGAATTCCCCTTGATACTCTACTACCTGGGACACATTTGACTTCTCTGAGTGTCAGTCTGAGTGCTTAGTGCACTTTTATTTTATTTTATTTAGATATGGGGTCTTGTTATGTTGTCCATGCTGGTCTTGAACTCCCGGCCTCAAGTAATCCTCCTGCCTCAGCCTCCTAAGTATCTGGGACTATAGGTGTATGCCACCATGTCTGGCCTTAATATGCTTTTAAAAATCAGGAAATTCCTGTATTATTCAAGCAGTTCCAGTTACAGAAAAACAAGAACTCTTCTTATAAAAATTCGTTTTATAAGGATTGTATATCCCAATACTAAACACGATAAAGACTGAACAAAAACCAGATCTATTTCACTTTAGAGCAGAGAAATCATTAAAGTACCAGGCAAATAAAATACAGCAGTAAAATGTAATAACAATACATCATGAATTATGTGGTTTATTATAAAAATTCAAGGATGGTTCAAACAAATGAAATTTCTCAACATAATACATTAAATCAAGAAAAAGAAAAAGTATAAATAAAAGAGAAACTTGGAAAAATGGTTGTAAAGGACATTATTGGAAATACTGACAAAATTAGAACATGGACTATGGATTAGATGATGGTATTGTACAAATGTTAAGTATTCTGATTTTGATAATTACACTGTGGTTATGCATAAAATTGTCTTTTTTCTTAGAAAATACACATTCAAGTTTTTAGGAGTAAAGGAACGTGATGTCTCCAACTTTTAAATGGTTCAGAGAAAAAAGACACTGAAGGAGATACTGAGAGAGAATGCTAATAACACAAATGGTAAAAAAACACTATATTTGCTACTTTTTAAAATACATTTGAAAGTTCTTTAAAACTAAAAAGTTACCAAAGGAAAAAAAATAGAAAGAGGCCAACTACTTAAATATGAAAAATACTATTAGTGAAATTCAACAGCAAACACTATACTAATTAGCAAAATCATGAAGACACTTTCATCAAAATCAGATATTAAGGCAGGGATGTTCACTATAATTTTCTTACCTTATTATACTAGCTAATAATGTAATATGAGAAAATGAAATAATTAGTATATTAGAAAAGACAAATAAAAATCACCTTTACTTTCAGATCACATGATTATATATATAGCCACCTTATATTTAGAAAATCTAAGAAGTTCTAATAAATATGAGAGCTGGTAAAAAGATTTAGTGAAGTAATTGCATATAAGATAATTGTGTAGAAATCAATCAAATCTGTACAGTGTTTCTGTATACTAGCAACAATCAATTAGAAATGAAAATAGGCCGGGCACAGTGGCTCACGCCTGTAATCCTAGCACCTGGGAGGCCAAGGCGGGAGGAT